AAGCCCTGTGAGCGTTGAGCTGAGAAATGGTGCGACAAGTCCTTGGTAGGGAATTTTAAGTGCTGGGGGTGGCTTTGCGTTAGCCGCTGGAAAACCCTGAGAGCTGGGAGCTGCTTTGCCCATCTTGCTGCTGGGCTGCATGGCTGCCTTTCCCTGCGCACCAGTTGCCTTACCTGTGAAGTGGGGCGACTTGTATTTGCCTGCTCTAAAGACTGCAGAATGCACTGATGGGCAGCAGTGGGCAAAAGCGAAGTGGCAGTATTGTTGTAACTGGAGCCGATGTTAACTTCTGGCCTCCCCCATTAGTTGATTAATTCTTTTTTTTTTCATGAAGTACGTTCAGCAGCTCACGGCAGCGGTTGCATTAAGGTTTGGTCCTATCTCATTCTTTTAAGTTGCATGATATACATGGGTGTTCCTCCGCGCCGTGGTCGATGAGGTATACGGGATAGTGAATGGCCTTGTAAATCAGTAACGATCTCTGCAATAACGTGGCCGGCAGGTTGGCATCTACGTGCCCTCGCACACGTGGTCTCTGGGGTACAGAGTGTGCACGTGGCTCCCCCAAACTTCCTCACATCACATGGTGTCCACCTCCATGTCAGGAACGGTGGGCTATTCCAGCATCTCCTGGGGGATCCTGGAGGGAGAGGGGGAACAAGGAGCAGGGAGTTTCTCAGAGCATGATGAAAGGGGCTCATCTCATGAAGCCTTCTAGTGACAAGGAAGGAAGAGTTCCCAGGACAGGATTTCCACTTAGCAGAGAGACGAGCTGTTTCCGCACTAGTGTCCGTGCAGTGCAATCTGTGCAGCTTTTCATCTGCAGTACAGACCAGAATGACATCTCTCCCTAATGCCATCTCCTGCTCTCATCTTTCAGATGGGGCATCCTCTTCTCCCATCCGAGGGACTTCACGCCCGTCTGCACCACAGAGCTTGGCCGGGCGGCGAAGCTGGCGTCCGAGTTCAGCAAGCGCAACGTGAAGATGATTGCGCTCTCCATTGACAGCGTCCCAGACCACCTCTCCTGGAGCAAGGTACGGGGCGTGGGGAGGCGCAAGGGGAGCTTGCGCTGCTGCCTTGCTTTGAAAGCCAGAGGGAAAGCCCGCACAGAACAGAGCACAGGCTTGGAACTACGTATCTGCTGAGGATAACATTGTAAGATATTTGAATCCCAAAGCGTGTAGGATACAAGGTGCTAAAATGCAGAGCAGGAACGGGAAGGTCTGCTCCATATTTGTGGAGCACTCCACAAAGTCCTCTATGCACTGACACTTTGAAACAAGAGGAAAACAGTATTACTGCTCTCCCAGCAGTTCCTGAAAGGGTAAAATGTATGTGAAGGTGGTGCCAAAAGCTCAGAGGAAAGCAACCTATCCGCAAACCCTCAAAAACTTCTGTAATAAAACAGGAAAGGAAAGGAGGCATCAGAAGTGAACAGGCAGTCTTCAAAGGGTGCAATTCATGCCCAGGCAGGGAAAAGAAAACAGAAAACAAACAGGGGCATGTTAAACATAAAACCACAAATAGGAGCATGTTAAATATAAAACCATCATAAGGGAGTATAAAAAAAGATGGTCACAAAATAGCTTGCTGAAGGAACATAAAAGGAACTAATGAAAAACTTCAAATGCAGCCTCAGCAATGGTGTGCCGCCAGGGAGTATGACTCAGGGGTCATAGGTGGTAGGGGTGTAAAATAAGCATTTCAGACAGATATGTCCAGAGTGTAAAAATCCCTGGGTGAATTACCTGCCTCTTTCTTTGCTCTTAAAATTGGAAGTGAGAAATTTCCACACGCAAGCATTATTTAATGTCTGACTGGCTTTAGAAATTACCTAATTGCCTTATTGCTTAAACTGACCTTCGTACCTGAGTGGTGCATGGCCGATGTCCCACCAAGCCTCAGAAGGGCCTGGGAAAAACAGCACACAAATCCCACACCAGTTAATGAGGCTTCTGTGCTGGTCAAAGTGGCTGAAACCACTGGTCAAATTAGCAGATAACATTCCATTAAGTATAATGGAAAGTTTGGGTGTTGCTTTTGTAAGGCAGTCTCATCTCCTGGTTGGCTTAGAGCCCTTTGAAGAACTATATGGTATTGCCGACATCTACAAAGTCCTCGAATTTCCAAGATGCTTTTCAAAGACATCAGCTTTGTGAAGGGCAGGCTCTTTTCTGCAGGGAGACAGGAGGAATAACACAGAGGTTGCGTCAAGGGAGGGAAGTGGTGAGCTCCCTTGAGGGTCTGCAGGGATGTGTGGGTTCAGCATACTCGGATGATGTGGAAAAGAGATGAACCACGATCTGATTTTGCTGATGCTGTGTAATTATTCAGTGCAACCTCAGGTAAAACCAGGAGAAGTTGCAGAACAGCCTCTCGACACTGACTGATGGGAGGTAGAGTAGCAGGTTGGGAAAACCTTCCAGAACAAGTGTGGAGAAAGGCAGAGGGCAGCGGTCCAAGCCATGGTGAGCTTTCTGTCAGTCTGGGAGAGGCCTCAGAGACAGTGGTTTGGAAGTGTCAGCTCAGCACCTGTCAAAAAGAAAACCGTGAAAGTCCTCCAGAGCAGAAGATTCAATTGATGAGGAGAAATCCATAACAGACTGGAGCATTCCATGCAGCCTGTATTTGAAATCACTCATCTTGCAGACTACAGGGGAACAAGAAAAGGAGCAGAGGGGAAACAAAGCTTCCTGCAGGTTTGCTTCAGTGCAGAGGAACTGGGGCTCTTTAGCCTGGGAACAGGAGGACGTGTCAGGCTGCGACACCGTGAGCAGTGCGGGGAGCATGGAGGAGCAACGAACACAACATGCGTGCATTGTGGAGGGCGTAAGAGAGGACAGGAATGCAATTGCTCTGCTCTTAGACCTCGCCCATGCATATGATCCTTTTTCTTTGTCCTTGACAAAGCAGAAAAGAACTTCAGATAACGTGGAGAGCCAAAGAGCTGAGCTGGGAAGGCAAGTGTTAAGGCCTGCCAGAAGTCTGAGACCAGGGGCGGTGCCCCAAAGGTTCTCCTGCCCAGCCATGGGGAAAAAGAGCTTAACAGAGATACCAAGCCTCAGGAGAAGCTGCCTTGTCTAGACAAAAGCAGTCTGCATTAAATGCTAGATTGGGATCTAGCAACTGCAATTTCCTTTGCTAAATCTTAACTTAGAGAGAAGTCCTAGGAGTGAGCAAAACATTGGGCAGGCAGACCTCTCTGTGCAATGTTCCTTTACATACCTATGCTTTCTCTTTGGATGAAGCTCCTAGCAGTAGCGAGAGGATGAAGCTGTTTTTATGTGGAGGACAGCCTGTGAGGAAGCAAGTGGGCAGGAGGGATAACTGAAACACTGCATGAAACAGCAAAGAAACTTCTGCTTGCTTTGCTGCTAAATTTCAGTGGGCAGATGGGACTTGGAAAGGTGGGACCAGAGTATAGCCACTAATTTTCATGTCACTTTGCTCAGCTCTGCTTTCCCAGCCAAAGATGTCACTGCTGTTCTTAGCCATCCCTAGCCAAGACCCAGAGGCTTGCTCCAGGACTCAGAACAAGCTCAGCCAGGGATTGATCCCACTCTCCTACCTCCCCAGACTGCGCACTGCTTCTCCAAGGGTTGCATGAGCTCCTTAAGCAGGGTTGACTGGCATGTGCTGTGCATGTCAGAGGAGGTTTCAGTGCTCTCTTTGGCCACTGATGCCTTCGCCTTGGTGAGTCAGAGGTGAATAAATCACTCCAGTGATGTCTGGTTTCAGCGGGGACTCTGGAAAGAAAAATAGTTCATAGGGAAGTGAATGAGTCTTGGGTGTCTTATTGCAAAATAGGGTGGGGTTTGTGAGGCTGTTTTGTACAGAGATCCCCAGGTCATGAAATTACGTGCATTTTGGAACGAGTTACAGTCCACAGGATTTGGATGTTGCTTCTCAGAAGCTCTCTTCATCCTCCAGCCCCCACTCTGAAGCGGGGGGGAGGCATCACTGTCTGACCTTCATCTACAGCCTCCTGTGACTCTGTGGGGCATTCAGAAGCATTTCGCCTGGGCTGGCCTCTCCAGCTCTGCTTTGGCAAGGCAGGTCTACAGGAGAACAGAACTGATTCCTTCCTTCCAAGGCAGGCCTGACCACAACCAAGCTGAGATAAACAGCTCCTTTTCTTAGTGCAGGGCTGACTCGGTGCTTTCTCCTTGGGGAGAAAACAAGCAAAGAGGAAAGCTGGAAAGGAAACATCTTGCCAGGTGTGCACCACTTGACCTGCTTGCAGCATCCTGAGCAGCCGGGGCAGGGTTACAGCCCCTTATGTCACCACCATCAGCCTAGGAGGGCTGAGGAGTGGTGCAGGGCCTGCCTGCTCTTGCTGCCTGTGGCATGCTCTGAGCAGCAGTGGGCAGTGCCAAGGGGCAGCATTTCCAACCCTGCCCTCCCCGAGTTCCCTCTGAGCAGGACCCAGCCTGTTCCCCTGCGTTCAAAGCCCGGGGAAGGTGGAGAGACTCGTACATTCCAGTTATCAGCTCAGCTGATAACGCACCACAGTGGTGCGCGGGAGGCTTGCATCAGCACCGGAGTCGGTTTTGTCCCCTTGTAGTGTAAAGAGGATGGAAGGAACAGACAGCTCTGTTCTGGGGCAGAAACCTTGGATTAAACTTGCTTTAATGCTGGCAGCTGTTCTGCTTCTGCTGCCTTGAGCAGGGTCCTCCCAGCCCTGCTGTGGCTCAGCGTGACCCATGCATGTGGTACCGCAAACTACAAGGATAACTTGAATGCTTTGGCCAAGTCCAGACCAGATTTGGGGACGCTCAAAATACAGTTTCCCTGTGAAGCAGTTCAAGTTTGGACTAGCACAGGGAGCAGCCTCATAAACCATGGTTGCAAGGGAGAGCCTGCGCAGCTGTGGAAGGGGATGGTTTTCTCTTCTGTCCCAGCCGTGGTTCAGAAAGGAGCATGCAGTGTCCCAGCACCTGCACTCAGACTTTCACTCTGTTTTCAAGAGCCTGTAGTTAAGTAAGCTAGGAGCGACTTGCTGAATGGAGCTGGTCCCTCGCACAAGACCTGTGCAGTGTTTGACACTTGACCTTTGTTAGCTGTAGAGTTGCTGGTTTGCTCTGCCACTAGAGAAACTGTTCCTGAAGAGCACACTGCAGTTCACATGCAACACCAACACATCTGTCAGTAGTGCTAGATCACTTGCTGGGAGAGGGTTGGAAGAGGGGCACCTCTGTTCTCAGGGAAAGGTGGGTAAATCTCCCTGCGTCACCAGCACAGGCAGGACTTCCCTATTTCTCCATACCCACTGCCTGGGCAAAGCAGCTGGTCCACGGGCAGTTCCACAGGTGAGCGACAGGGTGTGAGCATAGACAGCCTAACAACTAACCTCTAAGAACAAGGCAGAGTCCGGCCTGGCACGCAGGTTTCTGGCTTGTCACCTGGTTTCTGGAAGCAGAGAAACTTCATGGAAGGCCATAAGCCCCTGGCTGTGCTGTCCCAGCCTGAGACCTTGGGGCCAAGCAAGTGACAAGCTCCTGTAGAGCAGCTGCTGAACACGTTTCTGCATGGCCCCTCTGCAGGAGCTTGCCCCACACACATAAAGCCTGCATGGAGGTCTCCCTGCCTGGCCCCTGTCTCCCATGTTGGTACCCACAACAGGGAGCATGAGCATGCCGATGGTTTTGTCTCTGCAGGACATCAACGCATACAACGGGGAACAACCCGAGGAGAAACTCCCCTTCCCCATCATTGCTGATGCAAACCGGGAGCTCGCTGTCAAGTTGGGCATGCTGGACCCAGATGAGCGGGACAAGGACGGCATGCCCCTGACTGCTCGCGTGGTGAGTACCTGGCCCTGGAGCACCGCTGCACAGCAGCCTTCTCAGCAGTAGGCGTTGCCTGCCGTCCTGCCCTGTGTCCATGGGGCTGGGCTTGAAGACTGGGGCAGCTTACCTGGCTGGACGTGACCATCTTCAGGAGCTAGGTTGACTTCCTTGGGCTAGATCCATGGGTTGTGCTGCAGGAAGAAGCTGGCGCAGCACTAGCCTGCTGGCAACAGCTCCATCTTGCTGTTGCCGCCAGTTCATCCTGGTTGTGCCTGTCCTAACACAGAGGGGACAAAAGCGCTTGATCTGCTGGACTTTCCATCTTCTCTCCCGTGCTTGTATTAGAAGGACACAGGTCAAGGGAAGGAAACATTTCAAGTAGCAAAATAAGCTGGAATTGGAAACAGGAGCTCCCGGAGCAAACAGAGTGTTCTCTGTGCCTGGGCATCACTTGTTGCTCTAGGAGATCCCCACCGTGGCATCTCCCCTGTCCCAACACCTGCAATGAAGCAGGGCACCTCCCAGGAAAGGGAGGAGCAGCAGGGCTGAGGAGATGTAGCAGGGCAGTTGGACAAACATCTGCCCAGCCCCTGACCCTGTTTCCCTGTGCTCAGGTGTTTGTTTTTGGCCCGGATAAGAAGCTGAAACTCTCTATCCTGTACCCAGCCACCACTGGGAGAAACTTTGATGAGATCCTGAGAGTGGTGGACTCCCTGCAGCTGACGGCGTACAAGAAGGTTGCTACCCCTGTGGACTGGAAGGTGAGGAGCGGAGCAAAGCTCACAGCCGGGCACTGAAAACGTGCATTGAGACATCAACCAGCCTCCCTTGGAGGGAGACCCACAGGGCGGGGAAAGCTGCTGAGGTCCTGGGATTTGAGTTAGATCCCAGCCCAGGCCCCAGGGCTGTTGCAGTCTGGAGTCAGGAACCTCCCTTCCCTGCCCTCAGTCCCTGGTGCCAGCAAATACTGGGCTTGGCCCTTCTGGCTATCAGTACTTGAGCTTTGGGCCAAGGCAGGTCCTGCCTTTGGCTGTCATAAGGGCGGGCATTACCAGGTGTCAGCGTGCCAAAGCCCACTCGAAGCCAGCGAAGCAGCAAGTGTGGGGCACCCCTCCCTGGGCCAGCTCGCTGCTATCCTGCCTTTGAGCCAGGAAGGGCCAGCGTGGGCTCGGCCCCGCTTTGCCCAGCACGTACACAGCCAAGTCCTATCCTCATGGAAAATTACTAGTTGAAACTGCTTAGTTGTGGCCATTCCTGTTCAGTAGCATTATTTAAAACTCCCAAAAAACAGTTTGGGCAACCAAGATAAAGCAAGAACAAGCAGCACAGTCTGGCTGCTTCAGCTAGCCAGTGTTTCCTCAGCCCAGCAGAGCTGCTCAGCTTCTGGGCCTGTCCTGCTGCTGGCTTTGATAGCTGTTACTGGGGAAGCCTGCCTGTCTGGAGCCAGAGGACACGCTCCTGCTGTTACAGGGTGTCCTGGAGAACTCCTGTGTTATGAGGCAGGACCAGACTCCCAGAGCATTGTCCCAGTGTTGTGTTGTCCCAAACACCCGCTCCCTCTGGGCAGGAAGGCCCCATAGGCACAACCTTTGGAGGCTGAGTAACTTGGGGTATCGGTGCGCTTCACTGTGCCTCTCCACCCCTCAACACCAGCATCCACGTGCTGAGCATAGAACAAACTGCACCTTCACTTCCCGGGGCAAAGCAGAGTGTGGAGGCAGCCTTGCCTCTGAAGACTCCTGTCTCCTGCAGCGTAAGCTCCCAGCGGTGCAGGGCCAGCCCACCCACCAGCCCACCTCCCAGGGAAGCACGCCTTTCCCTGGGGCTTGACACGCCAAGGGGGAGCCAGCACCGCCTGTCCAGGGGTGCCTGAGCAATAGGAATGGATGAGCAGACTCGGGAAAGCTGTGCTCCCTCCTGCATTGTAGAGATGCCCAAATTCCCCTCTTGTTAATCCCTGTTCCCGTGGGAGTGCTGTGGGGAAGAGCTGGGCTGTGGGATCCCATTGGCAGGCCTGGCAGACAGCACAGCTTTCCCTTTCGACATCACCCACACCTCCTGGTGTAGCTCCCGCTCAGTCTTCACTGCCGGCTCCAGGCAGAGCGGCAGGGGATGTGCCTGGAGTGCTGTGGCCGAGTGTTCACGGGGAGGCAGTGTCACCTGCCAGCAGGGACATGCCACCTGCATCCAAGCCTGCCAGCTCCTCTGCTGCTCTCACGGTTCCCATTTTCTCCCCAGCCTGGTGACAGCGTCATGGTCGTGCCCACCTTACCTGACGAGGAAGCCAAGAAGCTCTTTCCCAAAGGAGTCTTCACAAAAGACCTCCCTTCAGGCAAGAAGTACCTGCGTTACACCCCACAGCCGGAGTGAGCGTGCCTGCCTGTCCGCCCCGCCGGGCTGCAGGTCATTTGGCATCGGGAGCCTTCCCCGTGCCCAGCTCCTGCCTCCCTGACACCCATTCTAAAAGACTGCCGTCTCTGTACCACACAGTGTACCTTGTCATTGCATGGAGAACATGAGCATGCCTGTCTTTTTATAAAGAGGAAAATAGTGAAACAGGTAGTCATTGAGAGTAACTAGCTGGTATGAAAAAAGCAATGTGTAAAGAGGACCGTGTCTTTACAGTAGGCAGTAATGCATGCAGAAAAATGCTGAATGCCAACCCAGTCTGGGTTCGGGAGCCTTCCCCGTGCCCAGCTCCTGCCTCCCTGACACCATGCGATCAGCAGCCTCGTACCATCGCACTCACCGATGGTGCATTGCAATACTAAACCAAGCCTCCCCATCCCTTTCATCCCCCACATGAAACTGAAACCCGGGTGTTTTCTTGCCTTGTTTTCTTCCCCAGTCTGGGGAACACACATGCCTGGCTGATACAGAAAATGGAGGTTATCACAGAGTTGGGTCTTGTAGGCAGAGAGAGTGTACTTAAGATTGCAAATAGCTTAGCTCTGTTTCAGAAGTTGTTTTTCTTAGCGGTGAATATTTTTTGCACTGAACGAGAAGAGGCAGCATTAGCCAGTTTGCAAGGCAAGTCTTATTCCATTACTTAACAGGGAGGCACGTGAGATATGTAAGCAAGAACACACGCCAGGGTGTGTGTGTTCATCAGTCAACATATGAGGTGTGTGTAATTGGCAAACGCACACCTTGGAACATGTTACTGCACTTATAAAATGGCCATTTATTTTAGTTTTATTAAGGAATGCAAGTACTCTGTGCTGCTAGCTTACAAAATTCTCTTTTTTTTAAATAAAATTGGAACACCATTCTTTCATGCACTTAATACTAAAGTGTGTTAAAGTCTTTACCTGTTTTAGTGCTTAAGTAACTATTTTGATCTGATATCTGAGCTTCTCTGTTGTCTTCATGCACTAATGATGCCATTTGAGTGGGTGTGAGGAAATGTAACTCGCTTCATCCTAGATTTCCCCATTGATTCCTATTCCTTGTGCTCCTCTGAGCTTCCCTGCCCGTACTTAGAAACAACGCATCTCCCAGGGGAGCTAGAGTGCAAACCTTATTCTTCACCCAGAAACATTGGCTACAGAGGATATCACTCTTAAATAATGGTTTGGCTCTGTGAAACAGAAATGAAGATAAACAGTTCATTTCTGAAATGAAAGGTATGTCTTCATTCAGCAGTACTGGCGTGTGCTAAATAATGCACTTCTGTTGTTTGGAAAATAACTAGTGGGGTTTTTTGTCTTGCTCACGTATGCCTTTTGCTATCAGAATGTAGACTTGCCACACCAACAGGGAGGTGTTTTATGATATTGCTTCAACTGTCTGCCCGCTCTCCAGAAAAAGTGTTGTCAAGGGATGGAAGGGTGCAAAGAATGGGAGTGAAGTGGAAATAGGTTGTGCTCCTCACTGCACTTACGGCTAGTGTAGTGCCTATAGAAGAATGACACCTTCTTATGGAACACCTGTATATCCTTTGTGCATCGTGAACGAAAGTGATTGTAATAGTGATGGAAACAGAGTAAAATAGCTGTAATTGCCGTAGGCGCTGTAATTGAGGCATTATGTGCTATTCGTCACTGCTTCTCGAGAAAATTGCTGATTAACATTCACAGAGGACAAAATTCTTCCTTCCAGGACTGTGCAACCCCACTGCATCTAAAGAGATTTCAGAATTATGACTGAAAGAGAAGTCTTGCATTTCATCTTTTTGGGTTACTTTTGTTTCTGGGTTACTCTTATTTCTGGCGGACAGAACAAGAAAAGGAAAAAAGCCACCACTGAAGGTCCTAGGTCATTTGCAGGATTTGTACAAGATCATGTACAGGTTTTCTAGAGAATAGTAATCTCTTCTGTCTTTGTTTTGCATGTGAAAATAGAGTATGTTTCACAGAAGATGCCACATCACAAATAAAGAAACTGTTTAAGTAGACACATTTCCACAACAAAGGCGTATTTTGACGTGATCTGCCAGCAATGCTGTGACAGAACACAAATAATGTAAGTTCTTGGAAAAGGAAAAATATGAGTTGGAACCATTAACCTTCTGAGACACTGAATATATTTTAAAATAAATTATTTTAATTAGTATTGCTCTAAGAGAATAAAAGTTGTGGTTTGCTTCAGAATCGCCAGAATTTGTGTACCTGGCGTGCCACCTGAAGTTCTGAGCTCACAGGAAAATCCAAACTCATTATTCAAATGGCAGCCTGGTTTTTTTTTGTGGTGAGATTTCCCTGGGTTTACTTTTTATTCATGTGGATCTTATTCTCATAAAAATACTGATACAAAAGATCTTAACCTGGAACTTGAGTAGGTTTGCTGGAACTCCTTCAGTCCACACTCAAGCCTTTATAACTGTTTTCTTTTCCCATCAGCCAAAGATTGCATTTGTTTCCAACACTGGAATCATTTATGTATAAGCTTTACTTTAAAGCTAAGCAGGTATTTTAATGTTTGCAGAATAGGAATTTTAGGAACTAGAAAAAGGTGACTGAAGTTAGTATCTGATTAGGCAGAAATATACCATGGATACAAACTGGGCTGAATTGTTTTGGCAATTCTGAACCCTTTGGGTTATAACATTGTCTGCTTGGGTAAATATAATCACCTGATTTTTCTGCTTTTCTCATATAATAAAGGAATGAAAGAACTACAGCTTTGCTGAAGGAACAAATTGAGAAGAAGGAAAGTGGGATATAAGAGCTTTCCTGCCTCATCAAAGATGAGGGAGAGAGTGAAAATAAACCAGGTATTTTCTCAGCCAGATGGCCCTGGTGCCCTGAGATGATAACTTCCTGCACATGCACAGGCTGCTCAGTCACCTATTGTAGACGCTTATACAAGCTAAGGCTGTTTTTACCAGGACAGCTCTTCCTATATGGAACAGGAGAATAAATCACTTAAAGTCCTGTCCTCATCCACAATATGGTCATTGCTAAAGAGGCTGATAGGTTTGATTGTATTCACGTCTTCATTCCATCATTTCAGCATCAGCAACCCATTCAGCCCTTTACAGAGTATGTGCTATCTTGAAGGAAAGAGAACAGCAAAATGTGAGGGTCCTGAAAGTGAATTTGGTTTCATGTAAGTGTGTGTGGGGGTGTCACTGGGATACAATGAAACAAAGACTTTATATAATATCAAATATTTTTGTGGTGAAATGGATTGTTGTGATGTTCTCCCTTGCAGAGAAGTATAAAGGTAGTCTATTACTATTTTATATTTTTCTCGGTTTTTTAATACTTCAGCTATGTTTCTTTTTTTCTTTAAGGAGTAGCTGTTGTACTTGATTCTCTGTTTCTTACTATTCACAGTGGTCCTGTGTTACATGCTTTTGTTTCAGTTGTCATTTTATTCACAAAACTATTGCATTTTCTGTGTTTGTTTACCTGAAAATTAGCTAAAGGATGCTAAATACCAGGACATTTGGTCTACTTTGATTTCTTTAAATATAAATACCTGTCATCACAAATTCTCTGATTTCTTTGTTACCAAAAACTGGAAGAAAAAGTACTGAACGTTTTGAAAGCTATGTGCACATGTTTTTAAATGAGTCTTCAGGTTCCCAGAACGCAGGATCAGCAGATGGCAGTCAAACCAAAGTTCAATCTGTGAGCTTGCACGAAGATTTCAAAATACTGTGTCTGTAGGAGAAAGGGGAGAGAGAGACGGTGTGACTGAGTTGTGTCAGAAGAGATGTTCTTTCACATTTGTAAATAGATACAGGTTTGTCAAACCTTAGAAAAGAGGAGCTTTGATTTCTGCCCTTCTGGGATTTGCATGTGTTTTTTGTTTCAGGTCTTTGTACTTGGGAAGCTCTTGAATTTTTTTCACTGCAGCTGTGGATGTTTTGAAAAGAACAAACTGGTGATTGGGTTGTCTCACTTGTATTCTAGAAATCTGTCTATTTAAAAATATTTTCTTATTTAACATGTGTGAGGAAAGAGCTTTGCTTTTATGCCTGGAATGTCTGTCTCACTATGGGGTAATGTGGTTTTTATTAATCAGTTTATTTTTTTAATTAAAAAAACCCATACATTTCTCTAATTCACGGTGGTTAATGCTTTTAAAAAGATTTTTTTGTTAATTTTTAACGTTTACTTTAATTGTGCTGTTTTGTAGAATACCAGCTAAGTGGCTGAAGAATATTCAGTATTATATGGTATTTTTATTTACATCCTGTTCTAAATAGTTGACAGTTGTACACCGGTACAGATGTATTTGAGTAGTTGATGGAGTAGTTTCCTAAAGATGCACCTTCCATATGGCACAGTTGCTACACGGCTTAGTTACTGAAAGCATGAGAACTGAAAGGAGTTGCAGAGTGCAAAGTATCATTAAGCATTTATTGTACTATTATTTTATTCTATTTTCATGTTTTTCTTTTTTTCACTTCACAACACGTCATCAGACTTCAACCCTTGCTTTTTTCTCTTCCCTCTCCCCCTTTTCTGTTTTATATTGCAAATACTGTCCTCTGTTGTGTTCTGTCTGCTATTAGGAGGGGAGGGGAAAAAAACCCCAAACCAAAACAAGCCAATGAAACAAAAAGCCTTGTGGGAAAAATACTCAAAGGTTTTATCATGAGTCAGTATCTTCAGTTCACACTTCACATCTCCCTTTCCCCTAAAGGGGTTAACACTGCTTATTAATTGAAGAGCACAGTTTATACTAAGCATTATTTAACATCTCCTGGTGGTATTACTGTACTTCCTGTTTTGTATTCACAATAATAGGTTTCTGAAGAGTTGCCTTTGTATAAATACCTCACTGACATTTTAGGCAAGTGTATTCATGTCTTGGAGTAAGCACGAAAGAGTAATGTGTTGGAACACTGCTAAAGAAGGAAATCTCTTTGTGTTTCATAAATGATACTCCTAAAGCCTTTTAAGAATATATGTTTTTAAATGACAGCTATGCATTTGTTTTGTTTCTTTAGTTTTTGTTATTCTGACTTGAATTGGCTCTAATAAGCCATAAAGG